CTAGCACCCCTCCCTCTACCCCACTTTCTCCCTGGATCAGTCCTCCTGAGTGAGGGGGTTGTGACAGCCAGTGGAGACGTTTCCTCAGCCAGGCTTGGCGCCAGAGTACACTGTCCCGTTATGTTTGTCAGCTCAGTTTCTCATTATAATTTGGCCAGACTTCTGGAGTAACAATATATACTGTAGTTATTTGTACACATAGATATATTGTTTCTTGTACTGTTGCACACCTGAATATATACAACATTTTATATACAGTACTGTATATAGGGGATATATACAGAGTTCTAAGACAAACAAGAATTTAACAAGATAACTTCCCATTTACCATCATGTGACTCATTTAAATGACATTAAAAAACTCATTATTTGTGACTAAGCCAGCAGCTATATCACCCTGCAGCTCTCAACTGGCTACCCACTGAAGCTAAGCAGGGTTGAGCCTGGTCAGTATCTTGATCAGAGACCTCCTGGTAAGCTATGGTTGCTGCTGGAAGAGGTGCTAGTGGGACCAGCGGGGGGGCTCAACCTGCAGTCTGTGTGGGTCCTAATGCCCCAGTATAGTGGCGGGGACATTATACTGTAGCGGGTGCCCTCTTTTGGATGGGACATTAAACCGAGGTTCTGACTCTCAGTGGTCATTAAAGATCCCCAGGCATTTCTTGATAAGAGTAGGGAGTTATCCCGGTGTCCGGGCCAAATTTCCCCCCTCAGCCTTTACTGGGGCCTCCAAATTGTCCCCATATATGATTGGCTTGCACTGGCCCTGCGATGGATTGTCGCCCCGTCCAAGGTGTACCCTGTCTTGCACTCGTTGTTTACCGGGTAGGCTCCAGCTTACCATGACACCGTATGGTATAAAGCAGTTTGGCAAATGACATGAGATGACATTAACTGTGACTTTCACCTTGATATAATAATTAAATGATAATGTCTGTAAGTTAATTGGCTACTTTGATAGCATGTATTCCAGTGTTTTAGTATAGGTATTAACGCCTCATTTGTCTTAGAGTGGTTTTCGTGAAGGTGTCCGTTTTTCAATTTCATACTTAAGGTAAGCAATGTTGACCATGAGGTTGTATGAACCTACTTTAAAACTACAACTACATAAATATTTCCTAGGTAATCTTTCCTAGATTTGTATGTTGGTAACTTGTGATTTAGTCCTCAGAAGTTTGGGTAACTGTGGTCATAATATTGCATAGAGGGGAGAAGGGTGGGACCCAGTAAAAACAACAGGTATTATTGTTCATTGTATGTCACAACAACTTAAAATTAGCTTTTATCTCATTTGTTATCAAATAGATGACTGATGATGCCAAGTCAGAATAATGATGATGGAAAAAGGCAATATCACATAACTGTGACAAGCATGCAGCACCCTTTTATGTAACCAGATTTATTTCAGAATTCCAAAATCAGATGCAGTGAGATGCAAAATAAACTTTAAATGATGTTAAAGTGCAAGTAGGGAGAAATACAATAGATCCTTTGCTTTCATGATTCTTTTGAAGAATAACGTTTAACTGAGAAAATCCATAACAGGTGAAGTCAATAAGTATGAAATTAGTAGGAGTCAGGCTCACATGTGACCTTATTAGTGAATAAGGAAACATCCCAGGGGTAAAACAATATGCTAACAATTAAATACGTATATTGGCAAATCCAGTCAAATAAACAATTAAGAAAAAATGGTAAAAAGCAGTCTGCCAAAGGCACTCTATCACAGGGCACGATAGACTTTTATAGCATGGAATCAACTGAAGTGAAACACATGCTGGGCAGAACCCTTAGAACATCTAATTACATTTTTTCTGAAAAAGTCAATCACAATTCTTTGCTACAGAGTGTTTTTCCACTTTTCATGGGAGTGCAGAGATTACAGGCCTCACCACAAAGCACAGTTTTAGGCAATTCCTTACTACTGTATAAGCTTTTTACTGTATTTAAGGCGGGTCCTAAAACAATCCAGCCTACTGTTCTAGCCTCCTGTGACACCATCTGTTACCCTGAGTATCCCTACAAAGTAGTCCTGGATACATGAAAAAATATCAGAAATAATGTGGTGCTTAAAGTGCCAGTTTTTAAACAATGAGTAGACACCAAGCTCATTTTTCACTGCATTCAAGCTTCAGACACATACAGATACTGTACAAACATCAGAAAGTTTTCAAGGGAGAGGATACCATTCTGTCCATATGGCTTATTTGATTTTTAGTAACTAATTGATCTGAAGATCTCATCCAGGTGTTAATCTCTGAAGTGGTGGCATCAGCTTCAATAACAAGGATGGGTAGCTTGTTCCAGTCAACGTCTCCCAGACTCACTCAATATTTTGTATCAAGAAGATTCTACAGTTCTGAGATTTCAGTGAACTTCCCCTCAGTTTCCGTTAATGTGCTCCGGTTCATGTTTCACCGTTAAATTTGAAGTCCATGTGGTTGACGTTGTCAATGCTTTTAAGGAATTTGAATATTTGTATTAGCTTGCCTGTTAATCTTTTTCTCTTCTCTAGCAAAAAAAAGTTCAATTCCACTCTTTGTTTAGTGTAGGACACATCGATGAGCTTGGGAAGTTATCAGGTTGCTCTTCCTTGGAACGATTCCAAATCAGCCATCTCTTTTTTTTCCAATTTTTGGGATCACACAATATTCTCAATAAGAGAATAAATCGTTTTCATAGCTCACCTACTTCATATTTAATTCAGTGTATGGTATTTTATACAGAATACAGGAGGTTGTGCTTTTGCTGTCAGCTTGCATTACTCTATCTTTTATGTCATCTGCAAGGTGTTTAACCACTGTTAAACCAATGAGCAGTGGCACAGTAAGTCAGAGATCATCCCTAAAGTATACTGTAAGCACACAGTAGCACAACTGGTCTCCTGGATGGGTTGCCAGTACAACAGAATTCAGAAAAGTCAATCAAGCAAAAACAGCTGTCATGACCATGTCATCAGGAGGTGGGAGGAAACTCGTAGTAACATATAAAAACCAATATGAGCACAGAAAGAACAAGATAAATCCAAATTGACAGATACTGGAATCTAACCTAGGGAAAACCAGCAAAACTATGACAAAATGCTTCCTGTCCTTCTACAAGCAATACAGTTTTCATTTTCCCCAGAAAAGACCAGTCTGAAAGGCAATATTGTGCAGAGCATTTTATACATTAGTTGTTTTAATAAGGATAAATTAAAAAGAATTAAATCACAGTATTAACAACATGTCTGTGTCCCTTTTCAAACACTGAAAAACAGCATTTTATTTTTACATTTGATTGTAAAGCTTGATTTTGATGTGTTGAAAGAAAAACTCTTCACACGATAACTAAACTGACAAAAATTAGGTTACTTTTGTAAGAGGTGTTTGTGGATTGGTTGGATTAGTTGGTGGCACTATTCAATCTAGAGATTGGTTCTTGGTTTGAATTCTGTACTCTTCTCAAAATAACCAAGCATTTTTGTCACCCATTTTGTTTTACAGCAATTGCTTCTCATCATCACCTTGTCCAATACCATAAATGCTTAAAATGCTTAAACTTTTAGCAGCTATGTCACCCTGCAGCTCACAACTGACAACCCACTGAAGCTCACTAGATTCAAGCCTGGTCAGTACCTGGATGGGAGACCTTCTGGGAAAAACTAAGGTTTCTGCTGGAAGAGGTGTTAGTGGAGCCAATAGAGGGCGCTCACCCTGCAGTCTGTGTAGGTCCTAATGCCAGATTATAGTGGGACAGGGACACTATACTGTAAAAAGGCACAGTCCTTTGAATGAGATATAAAATCGAGGTTCCGACTCGGTGTGGTCATTAAAAATCCCATGGTGTTTCTTGAAAAGAGTAGGGGTGTAACACTGGCGTCCTGGCCAAATTTCCCATTGGCCTTTACCAATCATGGCCTCCTAAATAATCCCCACCTATGGTCTGGTTTCATCACTCTATTCTCCTCCCCACTGATAGCTGGTGTGTGGTGAGTGTACTGGTGCACTATGACTGTCACATCATCCAGGTGGGGCTCCACATTGGTGGTGGTGGAGAGGAGTCCCCATTACCTGTAAAGCACTTTGAGTGGAGTGTCCAGAAAAGTTATATGTATGTGTAAGGAACTATTATTATCAACTGCTATCCTTATTTAGTATTCAGCCATTGAAAATACAGTAAAATCCAACAATGAGAAAATGGAACTGAATAAAATCACATTTTGCAGATTTTTAAGAAAGGATCCAAAATAATAGAATGTGCTGTGTTTTATGTTTAAAATGCAGCCACAGCAGCCACTGATCCAGAGCCAGTTTATAAATTGTTTCAAGATGATCATATTGTTTTAATATAATAAGGTCATGAAGCTTTGTGCTCAATGGTTCTAAACACAGCACAATATATATATACTTGTATAACTGTATGCTGGGTTAAACATTACCCAGCATTTCTGAACACTTGTTGAGCTTAGGTTAACAAGAACATATAAACCACCAGTTTAAGAAAATGTCCCATCTTTTACTTCATATTTTACATGTTATCAACTGTTCTGAAAAATGCTTTGCAATTCTTTTAGTTTCTAAGCTGTTTTTGTCCTGCCTCTAAGTATGATGCAAGGACTTCACTATAAGGAAGTTGTGAGACATCGACCTCTCAATCTCTAATGTATAGCTTTAAATAGTAACGTCCTTCTAAAGAAGTGCAGTCAGTAACTACTGTACTTCCAAACACAAATACTGAATGTTCCATGGCGCCACAGGATTTGCACTGGGTCATCAGGAAATTGTGGAATGTCAATAGAATTATCTTTTCATTTGAATTATGATATATTGAATTAAATCTAAAATATTTAACCTATGGATATACTATAAAATATATAGATTTGGGATTTTTCAACAACAGCTGCATTTTGTGTGTGATTATATGACTATACCTGTATATCCCTAACACTATGGTGGAGACCCTTTGCATTGCACCAGATAGCGTTAATGACACAGCAGTAACTGTATCATATATCACATCGTAAGATCCTCATTATTAAACCTAACAACAGTGTGCAGGCTTCCTGGATTGTTTTTTAAATCACTGTGATTGGAAACAGAGCCTAACAATTTAGAGTTTTTGCTGAGATGAATACTAGGATGAACAAAACAAAATGTGCAAAGCCATTTCTGCACATCACTCAATGTTCTTGTTGTGTTCATAGTGGTTGTTACAGTACCACTGTCAATAGAGTAACCACTGTAAGCTAGGCCCCAGTTCTTAAGAATAATGTTGTGTTTAGTTTAGTGGGAAAACTTAAATACACCAGGTAGCAGCAAAATAAAACCCACTAGCCCTTATAACCAATGAAATAATATTAAGAGCGATGATGTTGTTTGACTAAGAGATTTCCCAGTCTTGAGAGTAGTCTGGTTAAAATGTGTATTATTGCTATTAATCAGATATTACAGTAGGATAGATACTGTAACTTCAATGTAAAGTTTTGAAACTAAAAAAATGTGCCTTATACATCTACAGGGTGATGAACTGGAGCAATTAAAATGGAGAAGAGATTCCTTTGAAGAATGCTTAAACACTTCATGCAGAGGGTTCATCCAAACCAAGCCGGTGTATTGCTCTTCTGTGCTTCTGCTTGTAATACTTTAATACTGTTATCAGCGGGAACATGTTCCCCATGGGCAAACTTGTTCATATACCACATTTAATTTCACATTTTTCACAATGTAATTATTTAAACAACAGATTTACTAATTTAAATCAATCTATTAATAAACCTACAGTATCAATTACTGCTAGCATCAAATATCTAATGACAGCAAATCATTTGCTACCTCAATGTAGAATTGTTTTTTTTTCGATATTCAAAATACTATTATTTTGCTTAATTTTACACCACAAACAAAATGGTAAAAAGCTAGAAATGTACACATAGGAACAATTTGTATATAGCCAAAACATAGGTACAGTACCTTATTTGAGGTACTTCTGTACTTTCTATTTAATGATTAGGTCTTTTTTGATAATTTATCCGTTTCAGTTTTCAGTGTATCTCTACCTTCTAAGTACAGCTGTAATAAACACGTGGGCCTGCTAAATGCCATCTAACATTCGCAATCCATTCTTGGAATATGTAAAAACACAATATACATATCACTGTTTTTGTACGGAGAAGCTTAAAGAACTGCCACGCCCCCGACCAACAGGAACATAAAAACCGCTTCAGCGTTAATGAATTTCACTGAAAGGAAAAAAGCACAATTGAAGATGAGCAGGAAAGAGGTGAGTTGATGTAAATGTTTGAGCTACCTCTCTGAATTGGAAAAGTTTGTTTTTAAATTGTGCTTTCGTTTTCAAGAAATTTAAAAGAGCTACTATAAGAAAAAAACTAGTTTACGTGACCATTGTTTAAACTACTATATAGATGGAAACAGTGCAAAAAGCTGTTGTGTATAATTGTTAGAATCAGATTTCTGCAATATGTCCTTTACAGTAAATGTGTATATAGCCTCTCGCTTGCTCATTTTAAACATTGTAAACATTGTAGTGAAATATGACTTTTGCTCAGTTTGGTTAACTTCTGTAGGGTGTTTGTGCAAATTAATTTTCGAATCCGTAAACCTTTGAAATATGCCGATAAAATGAGTTATACTTTGATGATACTGTTTTGTTTGATAGTCCATTATAACGTTATAGTTATATACGTTATAAAACATGAAAACATTGTTAAAGGTGGAATTTACAAAAACGTTTTTACCTTCACTGTGACACTCATCAAAGACACTGGCGTCTAAAAACGTAATTAGTGTTCTATATTTATATTTATAAATCTGGTTATATTTAAACTACATAATTATTTGTAAGTTAGGGTGTGGAGTTTTACCTCCATAAATCAGCGACAGGATCAAAGCCACGACTGATTCTGAAAAGATAAATGTCTCTGACTTGCTAGGTAAAATCTTTCTAGAAGCAGAGTATATCAGATGTATTGAATTTAAGATTTTGGTTTAAAAAAAACAAAGGGTTTCTTCTTTGCTAATCACTGTATCATAACAGTAAATCAAAAGCAGAAACATCTGCTCTCCAGTTGATGCACAATCCTGTTTCATGCCAAGAAGGTGCTGGTAGTGTAGTAACCTAACCACAAATACAAAGTGTAATGTCTACCCTACAGCAATACAGTAATTGACGTGGATAAATGAAAATACAAATGAGACAACATAAGTATTAAACGTGCATCTAAATATGACAGGTATTAAATATGTTATGATTAATAACAGACTTGTGGGACTTAACATTGCAAAAAGACATTCGGTAGAAGAGAGATGCCAGCATTGTCAATGTGATAAGGTTTACTTATCAGGAGATGGTTCTTTCCCAGGGAAAAGGGAAATGTTCAAAAGTCATTTTAAGTACTTGATGTAGTTTTGAACATGTACTGTACATAAACAGTATTGCTAGTAGATAAGCATCATTTTCAGTAATTTCTGAACAGTTCATGCACTTTATATTTACATTGGAAAAAGTGTTTGATGGGACAGTTAATGTAATATTTCCAGGACAAATTACACTGTATTGCCCTGGGTTACGCTGTATTTCTCCAGAAGATAAGCATGTTTATGTTTTTCTGCACAATACCAATGAGCAATTCTGTTTCTTTGCAGGTCCTAGCAATTGTGTTCTTTTTCACTGCAAATAATCCTGCAGTGCTGGAACATGGGAAATATCGCACCTACCAACACAGAGATCCAGTCACTGGCAAAATGCTTCTCTGTAATCAATGTCCTCCAGGAACACACCTGCAAAACCATTGTACTACCAAGCACCAGACTGTCTGTGCACTTTGCCCAGCTCAGCACTATACCCAGTACTGGAATTATCTTCCCATGTGCCTGTACTGCAACAATTTCTGCAGGGAGAACCAGTTCGTAAAGGAAGAGTGTTCTCCCACCTACAACAGAGTTTGTGAATGCAAAAAAGGCTACTACTGGGATTCAGAGTTTTGCATAAAGCACACAGAGTGTCCTTCAGGATATGGGGTCAAAGCTAAAGGTTTCTATGATTACTGTTTAACAGTTTCCGGATTGTTATTATATCTGACTGCATACAGCATTTCGAGGAATTGTCTTGGGTGTTCTTCAAATTAATAAATGACCTGCAAGAGCAGTCTGATATTTGAAAGACGTACAATTTGCTAATTACTGCATCTTCATTCTTTAGCAATATGCGAGTTCAATAATATCCTGGACTATGTGCAATTCATTTTACTCTAGAAAACAAACAAATACATCTGACTTAATATGACTACAGTTTGTGAGTTCCAAAAATGGTAAACATAACCGACACCGACTTTCCATCTGTTTATTTCTCCTTTGTTACTCAAATACAGTCATTAAGTAAACTGTGCAGATTTTATTGAATCAAATTTATACCAGGAACATGAACGCTTTAACTATGTAGGTAATGCTAACTTCATTTATTCAATTTTTTTCCTAGGAACAGCAAACAAAGACACAGTATGTGAGAAGTGTCTTTCCGGGTACTTTTCCTCAAAAATATCAAGTCATTTATCCTGCATGAAGCACACCAATTGCACAGCTCATGGCTTAAAACGGATTCTCAAGGGCACTTCATGGCATGACAACTTGTGCATTTCCTTCAGCGATTTCCAAGTCAAAGGTACATTGTTCCCTTCTATCTGAGGAAATGAATAGTGCGCAGTATTGCTGTGCTTTCCAGTAATATATTGTACTTTTTTGTAGACAATACTTTTTACTGGGCCATGTAATATATTGTACATTTATCATGGGCCATTTTCTCTGTGAGCAAATTCTTAAAACAGATTAAATAGATTTTTAATTGTGCAGCTTTCCCATAGGGAATAATGAGGAACATCAAATAAAATAAAACGTACTTATCACCCAAATGAATTTGTTTACAAGAGCTTACTACATCAGATTCCAGAACTGAGGAATTAATTTGATTTGGCTGTTCAATGGCTTTTTGGCTGTAGCATCTGCCCCAGTGCATTAACCGAGTAGTAATAGGAAACCAAATTAGAAAGATTTCAAAGAACCAAGGTTTTAAAGAGGAAAAAATCAGACATTATTTTTGGAAAATTAGTCTTGATTGGATAGTAAAAGTAAAGAGTGTTTGATATATTGCAAAATGCAGTGCAGTTGTGGGCTTTTTGTGTTTCTTTATTACATTTATTTTTCTTTTTTTTAACTTTTATTATTTAGTAGTCATTCTAGTTCTACTGTAAGGTATGATACATGTTTAAAAATAAAATAATTGACAATTCTGTAGCCCTGATTAATATGGCCTGAAGATGGGTTCCTCCCAATCTGTACCAGCTGCAGCATTAGAGATTTCAAAGTGAAGCTGTTGGAGTGTTTGTTGATTTATAAGAAATCTTGGGAGGGCACAGTGTGAGTGGTCTGATTTGTTTTTGATTATGCAGTATGTATATACAATTAAGTACAAATTATTTAACTAAAACATTACATGTTTATACATTTCTTGTTTCAGGTACTCTTAGTTTATACAGAGAAATCATTCTAGAATTCTTTTCTCATCAAAAGATGAAGCTGAAGAAGGTGGTCAGATTTGGAAAGAAGTCTCTAAATGAACAACTGCTGACGCAGTTAAAAGGCAATGGAAACCTCTCTGCTCAGAAACTTATGTGCATTTATGTCAAACAGTGGATGTCTCTTCAGAAACCAGGCACAAATGTGATTAAAAAATTGCTGGAAATGCTGAAGAAATCACAACTTCATAATGTTGCAAGTAGGTTTGGGAATAAATTTAAAGGTGTACTGGCAAAAAAAAAAGAGGAATGAGGAATAATTGAATACAAGAAAAATCAGAAGAGAGAGGTGGATGAAAAGTTAATGATCAAGATGAACAACAAGGAATTTGCTGCTTATTGCACGGCACAGTTATTTCACAAATTGAAGTTGTTCCAAACATCGGTTATTGTTATATTTACCTGGTTCACTGGAAAACACCATGCTCCCTCCAATTTAATGTTCTGTTATTGGATTTTTCTGGCTTGCGATACTTGGGTTCATAGTGGCTTGAGCATGGACAAGGTTTTTAGATGGTTCTAATAAAAACTGCGAGAACCCTGTTTGGATCAGGGCCACCTGGACCCACCCCTTGAGCAAGGTCTGGGAATGGTGTTCAATACCTAGCACCTGGTGGCTGGGTCACCCACATAACCTGGTAGTCCCGACCCTAATTTAATCTGGAGCTGTTGTGTGGTCTCACCATCTGCAAGGTGAAGGATAGGGGTTGGTTGCGCTGCCAAGTGAGTAGTGGGGCTGCCTCCAGAGGGATTGGGTTCATTTTTTTGTGGCTGAGCTCACTGTGTTGATTAATCAGATCTTTAGTGATAGAGGTGGTTGAGATCCAGCCAGAAATGCTGAAGGTGCTGGACATAGTTAGGGAACCGTTGGTTAACATACCTCTTCAGTGTTGAGTGGAAGGTAGGGACAATCCCTTTGGATAGGCAGACTGGGGTGGTGGTTCCTATTACAGAGAAATCACACTCCTCTGCCTCCCAGGGAAAGCCTATGCCAGGGTTTTGGAAATGAGATGTTATCTAATAGTCGGGGCTCAGACACAGATGATATAATCTGTCCTGGCCGTTGAACAATAGACTAACTCTTTGTCCTTGCATGGACCTTGAGGGAGCATGGGAGTTTGCTACACCTCTCTGCATTTGTTTTGTGAAAATGCAGAAAGCTAAAGACTGTGTACCCCAGAGTATCTTGTGGTAGGTGCTTTGGGAGTATGGGTTGCTGGTTTTGGTGCTGCATGCAATTCGGACCTTGTGTTTGCAGAAGGAAGGTTATGTCCACATTATTGGCGTTAAATCGAGCCTGTTCATGGTTGGCATTGAACTCCACCAAAGGTGCGTCTGGTCTCAGGTCCTGCTTGTGATTTTCACGGACAGGATAACAAGGCACAGCAGAGGTTTGGAGTGCATCCTGTTTGGGGACCAGAGGGTTGCATCTCTGGAGCACTTCACCAAATGTGATGGGGTCAGGATGAGGGTCAAGGCCCCAATGTACTTAAAATCCTTATGACCTCCGATGTAGAGGTCTCTAGAGAGTGGTCTCCAGAGACCTCTACATCGGAGGTCATTATTCTCTCCTGGAAAAGAGTGGCTCGCTGTTTCAAGTTCAGGAGGAAACCACTGCCACAAGTGAAGGATTTTAAGTACATTGGGGCCTTGTTCACGAGTGCGGGTAGTGAGGATTATGAGACTGACCAGCATTAATGCAGACCCTGTACGTAATGGTGGTGAAGAAGCAATAGCTACGTTTTTAGATTAAGTTCTCTTTTAAGATCTACATCCCTGTCCTCACCTATGGTCACATGCTCTGTGTAGTGACCTATAGAATGAAATTGTAGTTGCTAGCAGCAGAAATGAGGTTTCTCCGAAGGGCTGCTTGGTTTACTCTCTGTGACAGGGTGAGGAGCTTGGCAGTCCAGGAGGACCTTGGAGTATAATTGCTGCTCCTCTAAAATTGAGAGCAGCCAGTTGATGTGGTTTGGGCATCTGGCGAAGATATCTCCCACTAGTGGTGTACCAGGTACTGCCCATTAGGGCTAATCCAAGACATGCTGGAGGGATTATGTCTCTCAAATGGCCCGAGGGTGTCTGGGAATCCCCCAAAAGGAGCTGAAGACATTGGCTGCGGAAAGAGAAGGTTGGTCTGCTCCGTCTTATCTGTTACCACTGCAGCCCTCTCCAGGAATAACTAGTTAGAAGACAGATGGGTGAAAAACATCCTGATCATCGGATCTGACCTACAGTGTATACCATCTACCATTCTGGCACAAAACAAGTACAAATTTTCACTTTTAAGAAATTACCTTGGCAATATCCTGGAAATGTGTTATCTTTAATGTATTCACATAATATTTACTTCATTTTGAACTCAATCATCATTAACATTGACATTACAGTCTTCCATTATTGTACATACAGTAGAATTGGAATAACAGTCTTTCTTATTTTCTGTACATACAGGATGCTGATATGTATATATGTTTGGGAAAATAAACATTTTATGATCCAAAAATGTTTTTCTTATTTTTTATTTAATATTAAAATAAAAATATGCAATGTACAAATTGAAGATGGTTTCTTAATTTCATAAACTTCTTTGAAAGTTTTAAAATTAAAAAAAGTTAACTTCAAAAGTAAATTGTAGCCTGACAGTGCAGATAAACAAGCACATACTGTAGGATTTGGACAGGATGAAACAAGTATTGTGAATGAAAAAAGATGCAGAGTAGTGTCATTCATGACTAAAGTATCCTGATTATGAATAATGATGAGTTTATTCCCATGAGTGATATTTAACAGCAATAAATCATTCCACTGCAAATTAACTTTTTTGTTTCCCAACTTGGACCTGTCATTGCCACAATCTTCATGAATTGTGCAAGTTATTATGTGCATTTTTCTTCATGACAGCATGCTTTACATTTCCATTAAAAGTGAGTTGCATCCATCTGGAACTTGGGAGTGACAATAAGGTTGAGGTGTTCAACTGTAGTGTGTTAATCCCTGTATCTTGGCTAAATTCTAACCTGGTTTTAAGAAATCTGTGCTTCCTAAATTCCTCGCTTAATTTATCTGGTAAAACTGTTTCTCGATTCTTCACCTGAACTGCCGTGTAGGAACACAGCTGGTGGTGGTGCTAGACAGCTGTTATTACCTGGGGCTGGTTGCGAGTAAACAGGTAACATCCTGCCACAGCTATTAAAGTTAGGGCACTTGTAACATCTGTTGGTCAAACATTGGAAGGTCTTCCATAATTCATTTTTTTGACTGGTAATTACTGAAGCAGTACAAAAGTGATTTTTGTTACTTCACTTCCATATTCAAATATAAAAAGCTATAAATTATGTTTATGAAATAGCTTGATCTTATGAGATAATTCTCAGTGGCCCTTTTGGACAGAAAGATTCCAAACTGATCTTTCATGAAACTGTATGATTCTATTCTTCAGTATGGCACAAAGATTAATAATGACCACACAATAATGAAAAGTTTCAGGTTAAAAGTACTACATTTTCCTGTTGGAAGTGGCAAAAATGTGTGTTTTTATACTACAGAATACCTATCGGGGTACTCTATAGTTACTATGGTCTGTGGTCTGTCGCTGGAATCTGTCAAAATTGCACTGAAATATTGTGTTGAACTTGTGTACAGTATGACTGTTTAATTAATAGTTTTCAGAGTTTTCACCAGCACTTAATCAGTGAGTACTATATTTTAGGGTGTTCCACTGTGTGGAGTTTAGTTAGCAGTTAGCAGCTCAGTTTTCAGTATCTACTGTGGTTGTGTCAGTAGAGATAATAAGAATGTAATTCCAGGATTAGGAAAATCAAATGTTGTTGTACTAGAAATTTTAAAATAAAAATGAGAAACACCCTGGAACTCTAACAGGTTCCATTGTTTTGTATGAAAAGATTCTGATACACAGTACCAGTTTGGGATTTTCCACAACTATAATTGCAATTCTGTTAATGCAACTCCATCATATTCTGTCCTTATTGTTCCATCTTGTGTTAAGTCAGTCTATGACCATGGACAGGTAATTGGGGCAGCCTACTGTAGGTCAATGTGACTTTTTGGGTCCTCCCATGTGGTTCAACCAGTGAATTCATTACTCCCGTTATAATTTTGTCATTAGTATAGATATCTAATGCAAAGTCATAGTCCAACAGCCTTTGTGGCCACTATAGGTTGTACATTTGAATACTAAAAAATCAAATTGTATATTTGTATTGGAAAAGGTATGTGATAATTCAGCAATGGCATAAAGAAAGAAAAAACGCAATGCTTTTACTGCTTATCCTTCTTTGACTATAAAAGAGAGAAAAATTGCATAAAGGACATAGTATGTGAGAATGAGCACAGGAGGTGCAAAAGAGTGTCAAAAAAATGGAAATCTGAGGTACAGGTATGAAAATCGGTAAATCGGTGGAGTCTAAAAATAAATTAGTATATTATTGAGAGCATTTTGAGAGCTTGCAAGCACTGTCGTTGAGGGACTCGCCTTCCTCTAATTGCTGCTGAACCTTGCTGTTCAGGCTGTCCTGCCTGTGACATTTTAAAAGACGTGAGACTAGAAGGCAAGAGAGTTCAAGGAGGTTACTGTACTGTACACCTACTGTACACTTCCTCACTCTCCTCTGTGTCTTCGTGGGTATCTTGGCTATGAATGTGACCGTCAAAATTCCACATAGGGCATATACAGTATGAACAAAAACAACTGGCAATTATACAGTAGATTAAAAGGATGTCCTTATACTACTCTAATGCCTAATTCAGGTTTGTCACAGTCCCTACAGTAGCTCAGTGTCACATGATATGTGTATCATGTGTAGTGTTCTGTGATATGAGTATTGTTGCACTATTGTTGCAGTCTCAATTTTAGAGGATTTTAGCCTCAGTTGGACGGAGGTAGGAGTCATGCAGTCAGGTTTTATAAGTCTCTTTTAGTCAGCAGAATGATATGTACAGTAATTGACTCCTGGCAGGGAAAAAGACAATTTAGAGTGGGTCGGGGTGCCAATAAAAAGTAAAATACACTCACCCCCGATTTTTTGCTTTGATCATATTGTTAGTAGACTTTATAAAGTTTCCTATATAAATCAGAGTTCAGTACCAAGCAGATTTATTACATGCACACAAGGAAGAGGCATATATAGTAAAGATTCAAAATTCCACAGACAGGGTTTGGGATCTGATCCACAATCGACAGACAGTATTTTAAGGAAAAGACCAAAGAGTGTTTCACCTTCATTGAATGTTTCTAGTGATCTCACAACATCTCATAAAGAGTTCAAGAATGTAAATAAAGACAGGACATGTTCCTTGTGAAAATACCTTAAAGAAAAGCCAAAGAGAAGATTTGTCAAACAAGAGTGGAGGACTGGAGTAACAAGAATGTTACAGGGGTCAACTAGGTTGAGAGGTCAATGCTGCTGTACAGGAAATATGAGAACATTAGAATCATTACAAATGATATGAGCCCATTTACAGTATTATATTTCATGAAAGACAGCACATATAGTTTTGTGATATATATGACTGTCAGTACATAACAATATTGTTCCTAAATTATTGCAGTCACTTGTCGTTACCGTTATCGTTGGTTTTTAAAAATGCTTTGCTATTAAGTAAAGTATAGTACTATTAAGTACTATATTGCATATCTTACGAATACAAGAAAATAGTTGTTTCCTTTTTCTTTTTGCTGATTAGTAGCTCCACACCATAGTCCTAACTATCATTTTGAGGTCCAAGGACATTTTAAAATGAAACTGTTAATGATTGATATATTTGTCCCGAAAGCAAATAACATAAGTAATGCATCAACCGCAAGTGTAATTATATTAAAATTGGACCTTAGTACATGACAATTTTGTTATTTTTCTTATTAGAAAAAAATTAAGTATATGTGGATGTGTGTGTGCGAAATGATCACTGTTCAGTAAAAAGGTGAAATACACTTGTTAACATCCTAATTTTAAATTGGTTGATATCAGGAACAATGCGCTCAGCCTTGTCTCCTACAATGAACTAAAAGGAAAAGACTACTTTTTTAGTCTCATTGTCAATATTTGTTGCGGGCAGCGGTGTCTGTCAGACTTGGAGGTTCATAGTGTAAATAGTAAAAATACCTACAACAGTATATAAAACCTGGATTAACTATGCACAGAAAAAATCTATAGGATTTCACATTCATATCTACATTCATCTAAAAAGCCAGTCATCCAAATAGTAGGCTTTTGTTGAGTCAGAGTAAGGTCAAAATCCCTTTTGTGTTGTCCCAAACTTTTTCACTCCATGTCAATCTTGGAGCAAATCAAAGGAAAACTCAGAATGAAAGAAAGTAACTGACTACTAGGGGATTTTTCTGGTTTCTGTATGTGTTGTTTGTATTCATTAATAGTGCATGCTTGCAGGTTGACATCATGGCTCTGTAGTTTTCAGTGATAAAACACAATACAATCCTTCTACACTGTAGATGAGTCCTGTTGGCTTTCCATTTGTTGTTTCTTCTAAATTCTATAATAATAATTGCTTACACTTATATAGTGCTTTTCTGGACGCTGCACTCAAAGCGCTTTACAGGTAATGGGGACTCCACGACTACCAATGTGCAGCTACACCTGGATGATGTGACACTTTCGGCACAGAGGAGTTTGCTGCTGTCTAGGGAAAGGTGATCCCTCAAATCATCACAGTCTGTAGGGAACGAGCGAGTTACACACGTCAGGTATATCGCTCACTGATAATAATATTGACAATAATATATAAAATATATACTTTTAAGGATACAATTCCCATATTTTCATTTGAATAATAAAATCATGATAAAAGCAAGTGTTTAACACAGTGATGGTATTTTTTATATTCAAACTAGTAGTCTCATCTAGGATTAGACAAATTTTCATTGCGTCATTGTGTTATGTAGCTCCATGCCTGGTGTTTTGTCTGGACTCGTGCAGCCAAGATAAGTTTTCTCTACTATAAGAGTCCTCATTTTATGCAGCCATGATTTTAGCCTAAGCATTGTCATTAGGTGCAGCCACATCAGTAGAATATTTACATCTTGCTTCTGCTTGGGGCTTTCCTTGTTTTGACACGGGTTCAGGTTTTCAACGGAATTCGGTCTGTAAGTTTTACTGAAAAAATTTACATTTTTAAACAGGAGAGGAGATTTCTAGAAGGAGGAGGTGAAACCTCTTGGGATCCAGTTTCAACACGTCCATTAGATTGCCCATAGCTGTATGTAGCTGCCTGCTACCAAATTATCTAGTTATACAAGTACAACGCAAGCGGTCATCGGCATTTTGTTCATTAGGTGCTCAAACATAGCAGGAGCATTAAACAAGCTGGAAAACAACTCAACCCTCCGCCTCAGAAAAATGTTTTTTTTTATCTGTGAGCACCACCTGTCAGTACTCACTCTCAAAGTCAAGGAAGCTGAACGAACACCAATGTGATCCAAAGCCTTATCTGTCCTTTAAAGTGAATATGAATCACTAA